CTTGATGTTTATGCCCCACAACACCTCCGACCACCGCTCCCGCCACCCCTTCAGCAGCAGTGACTTTATCAACGATGTCTTCGACGTCAACAGGCCTTCCATGGCTGCGGATGACGGCCGCTGTCCACGCGATCACTGGTTATGATAAGTGGTGTCAAAGTTTGGTTTGTTTTCACGATTTGTGGCAAACATTTGACTGCCTGTCAAACGAGACGCTCATAAACAGCACATTATTTGTTAGTGTATTCATTGAGAGTTAGACCTTTTTATACACGTTGGTACTATTCACTTACGATAGTTGTGTACATATAAAAGTACTTAATTATAAATAAAACTTTAATTTGATTTAATTGCTAAATTAATTTATCTAAACATAATAACACTTCTAATAAATTAAATCACAATTGAAATAAACATTTAATAATTAAATTAAAAGCAAAATTTTACACAAAACCCAACCAAATGCACGCAAACCCCACACCGAGTCCAGCAAACAGGTGGACGTAATCCATGGACCGACCCATTGGACAGACATTTACTTCCTTTTCCCATTGCATGCCAACAGTGAAGACACGCATTGTATACCAACTCTTGAGTAGTGTATGAACTGATGGCAGACAAAGAGCCAAAGAAGGCGAAAAAGGCGGCGCCAGCGGCTGCACCGGTAGCCGCGGAACCGGTCAAGAAAGTGAAGAAGTCTTCGCGCAGAGGAAAGTTCAATACGGCGACGCCCGGGAGGTATGCCTCACACACACGAGACACCCGCCACCGACTCACGTGTTTGCCACGGGTTTCGGTGGCTCGTTGTCTTACAATGTCTTCACCATTCGCGCGGTGATAGTATGCGTGTGAACTCGTTGTCTAACTATTGTCTCATTCGTGGACAGGCTGTACGTGAAGGCCATCTTCACCGGCTATAAGCGATCGCTTCGTAACCAACGCGAGAACACAGCGCTTCTTCGGCTGGAAGGCGTGAACAGGAGATCCGAAACGGACTTCTATTT